ATATATATATATTACAAGAACAATTTAAAAATGAAAATTCAAGCTACTTAATCAAACCTTATAGAAACATTTTATAAATTGATCTAAAATGAATCAGCTACAACTGATCAACCTTCTTGGAGGATATTCTCTACAGTAATGGAATATTTTTTTAACATTGCTATGTGTGCCTTTGCATTAAAGTCCTTTAGGAAAAAGGGTCTGCACGGGTGTAGTAAATGAGGTACAGTCATAATGCATATTTCTGTTTATTGACAAGGTGATGTTTGCACACACAAAAAAAAAGAACTTGGGCTGCTAGAATTTTTCTGACACTCCTTGAGGAAAAGAGGAATATTGTCATATTTACAAACTTTGAAATGTCAATCCGGTCCAACTCTGACTATATTTACATTCAAATAAGCTAAACCCTGTTCTAAAGTTGATGCATCTGTGGTGAATCTTTGATTTAGAAAATTTGTGTTGAAAATTATGTTTATTCCAGCAAGGTTAATTTCAAATAGTGACTACTGAACTGTAAATGATACTAATTTAACTTGTGAATCGTTAAGGCTTTTCATGTTTGGGCTGAAAAAAGTAAGAAGTACTTGAAACTTAAAGATGCAGTATGTAAGAATGAACATGCTGTTGTCAAATTAGGTTACTGAAGTCCGTTTTTCTAAACAAAAAAATAACTGTCTCATAGGGGTTGTACGAAAGAGTCGACTGGTCGACTTCACGGCTCTGTAGTGACTTTTTATGCCTGTCATCAACTAGTCGCTGTCACGTGATAATGACTGACAAGATGCAGTCCTCGGAAAAGACAGCAGTGATGAGCCCCTGCGCGTCTGGATCGAGGCGGAGGCGACGCGCTGTGCGGTACTGACACCGGCGGTAAAACGGACATTTAACCAAACTGTGACCTTTTCCCTCTTGCAATTTAACCTTCCCCTCACCCCCATCCTAATCTTAACCAGTTTGCGCATGCAAAGCTCTGATCATTGACGTGCGCTCCAGACATTGCGTCCTGAGCACCGCCAAATCAGGTGTCACCACCTCAAAAACAAATTAAACACGCGATCGTTCATGTCGGCTCATTTCCTTTCATGTTTTCTGTCTGTTATTTGTGCCTGATGCATTTCGCTGCTGCGGAGCGAGGCGCATCACCTGTTGTCCTCCGGTGACGCGCCCCCAAGATTCCACTATCTCCACTCCGCTCCGCTCCGGCATGAACTCCGCAGCAAAAACGGTCCCGTTGCAGTCGGCCGGCGAGCAGCGGCACTCCGCTGTTTTTGCGGTCGGTAGATCTTTTAGAACTGCAGTTCAAAGGTAACTCATGAGGTGAATATATATGAACCCAGCCAGGTAGCAGTTTCTCTTTAGGGTTGAGAGGAGATGCAGGAAGATAATAAACAGAGACAGGACAGAAAAATAGTCAAATAAAAACAAGTTAGTTTTTGTACCTGGTGGTTGCAACAAACAGACACCACTGAAGGTAATCAGAAGTGAGGAACAGAAAATGAAATAATTATTTTAATGTTTAGAGCAGCAGGAAAGGCTGCAGGCGCATCAGTGAGTTTGCGGCTGCTGCGCAGGGGGAGGTGGGAGAGGACTGAAGTAGGAAGCAGAAACTACCGTTATTAAAAGAGATGTGTTAACTTAGAAAATGTGGGCGCAATTTTAATTGTCAAAAACTTCAGCGAACCTACCGACCGACCCCCCCCACCCCCCCCGCCGCCGCCGCTTCCGGCGTATGACGTCATCAACGACTAGTCGAAGTCGACTCGACTTTCATTACTTGACTGTCGACTTTTAAAAAAATTAAGTCGTGCAGGCCCTACTGTCTCACTACCATTTTGTGAATTTGATGGCTGTTCCCATTTATGGCTCCACAGAAGATTCTAGATTACGAGAGAAGACGAGTCATACACAGTAAGTCGTGAAATAGATAAATATTTGCTATTAGCAGTTTTGGGTGATTTACAGTAGGGAGCACTTACTACACCAAATATGGTAGGATACCGCCGGCATTACAGAAGTCTTGCTGTTAGCTCGCTGTTATAGCTGTGAACAACTCATTAAAGTAAGTAAAGCACCCACGATTCACTCATTATGGGCTCGACACACGGGAGGCGACATCACCTCTCCTCCATTCATTTTCAATGAGACATGCGCGAATAAGCGATAATCGCGGGTCTCCCTCCTACCAAGCGAAACGCGAAAACGTGCGTGTGAAATTTTGCACTCGTGCACGTGTCGTGCACAGGCGACCCAGCGACGCGATCCAAGAAAGTTGAAATATTTCCAAATTTTCATCGCTGTCGCTCGGACGAGGACCAATCAACGGAGGTTTCATTCACTGACCAATGAGCGGACAGGATGCTCCGTACATCTCCGAGCAAACATGGAGGAGAAGTTGATTATTATTATGTTTTATATAGTAAAATCAGAAGTAAGATTTCACATAACTCTAGCAGCACCTTGTGAAACATCATATCTACCGCTTTATTAACTCTGAACCGCTTAAATAACCTTAATTCCCTCCAACCTGACGCAGCCAAACAAAACAACGGAAGTTTCGATTTCGCCATGGAACAGAACGCGTAGACGGCTTTGCTGCTGCCGCGGGTCGCCTCCCGTGTGTCAGGTAATAAAAGCGACAGCAACGAATTTCGCTGATTGCGGTCGTTTGTCACCTCCCGTGTGTCGAGCCCCTTATTCACTTCACACATACATTGTTCAAAAAATTGTACCTTTAATGAACAAGATTAGACATTTCCTCCATTCAACATAAAATCAGCTGAAAACCAGAGAAACGGGAATGCAGAGAGAGAAGGCAGGAAAAGTTTGACTTTTTGTGTATTTGCAGCAGTACAGTGGAACTCTATACCATTTACCACAAAACACCTGGAAACATACACGCTGTTCAAATCTCAGTGAAATAAATGTTAATCAATACTCTTATTTATATTACCTTTTATTCAGTGATATTTATAGATGGCACATTTAAAATGTGTTTAAAGTGAAGAGGGGCCTTTAAATAGTTAAACTTTGTGGGTTGGTATTGTACAGCAGGTGAAAAGTAGTATTCTTTGAGGTTAATTTTGGTACATTTACATTTATCTGATATTCATTAACATTGTACATTGTCATTGTGAAATAGATTAACTAGGCTGAAAGATACATTTAATCAAAAGCACAAAAATGCCTGTATCTAGTGTAATGTCCGAAAGGGTCAATTTTCACCTATAGATTCATCAAGATAATAACCTTTCATCTACAGCATAAATCCACTTTCTATTTGGCCTTCCAGAACCAGAAGGTTCTGTTCAGTGCCTGTTGACATTCCATGAAGACAAAACATTCAGACATTCTCTCCCAAGGTTCCTGCACTCTCTGTGAAAGCCAGACGTCAACATTCTTCACTCTGAATAAGTGAAGACTCCATGACTTTTACAACTCATAAGCTTACAATAATCATATGTGATGAATGAACAAGATGTTTAAATTAAATATTTGAATAATCTGTGCTTAAATCAATGAATTTGAAATGAATATTGTTCTTACATTTATATCACAAATCAGTATGTGTTTGATTTAACAAGTTAATCATTGTTTACATTCATACACATTACAATAAGATACATATTAAGGTTAATATGCAGATGGAAGAGGAATCCGCGGCTGATCTCCGTGGAAAATAAACGTGGTCTGCAAATTGTGATCAAGGCTTTTCAGAGCTGATCACACCAGCTGTCTGTGTGCAGCACCGAGTCCCCCCACCCCCCCCCCCCACCCCCCACCCCCTCCCAGCACGCAGTGGCCAAATATAAACAAATGCATCTGCCGAATATTTACTCCGTAATGTAAACTTTAACTCCTGCAGCTTAGAGGAAACTTGTTAAATACGTCAACACAGTGGATTTAATAGAAACTTTAAAGAACAAACTCTGGACGGTGTGAGGTGAGTTTGTCTCACTGCAGAAATAAAAACACACACGGAGCGTCAGCAGTCAGATGCAGGCGCTCACCAACACACGTGTGTGTGTGAGCGTCAGAAGGCTGAACAATAACCTGTAGAATAATTAAACTCATCATGCTAGAGAAGCTTCTCTGTGGTGGACCACACCAGCTTCTGCCACAATAAATAATAATAATATAATAATAAATAACATTTTTTATTTCCTTTCTGAACTATTTCTGTTGAGAGTTTTAATGTTTAAAATCTGTTAGATTGTTACTGACAGCAGCTACATTTAAGTTTCACGTTCTGTTCTGACTGAAGCTGCTGAAGCATGGAGGTGTAGTTCTCAGTCATCCTGGACATGATCATCCTGAGAGTTTTAGCTGAAAACAGCTGGACGTTTCTGGATATGTTGGAGACATTTAGCCTCTCATCCCAAAGGATTCTTCCAGACTTTGGTTGTGGTCAGAAACAAACACACTGGTTGTGCTGCAAGTATTTTTCTTTTTTTCATCCAAAACACGTTTTTGTTTAAATGAAGGTGATGTTATTGTTCATAGAATTAAAATTCATGTTGAAGTTAAGATTATTTCATCAAGTAGGACCTGTGGTTAGCTGGCTCATGTAAAGCATGTCATGTCTTCAAAGAATCGGAATCGGGAATCGATAGGAACTGGAATCGAAACAAGGAATTGGAATCGGAATCATTCAAAATCAAACAATGCCCAACCCTAGTCATTAGTTTAGGAAAAATAATTAAATGCATTTTATAAACTATATACCTGACTGTCTGAATTAATATGAAGTGTGTTTATGGTCCCTGAATAAGCGAAGAACCCTAGAATCGTCTGATTAAACATTCAAAGATCAATCAGATTGATATTTCATATTTATATTGAATCAACACCTGTTATTATCTATTTGTTTGATTGTGTTTAACATTCAGAGGCTAATATTTCTCAAAAAAGTAGTGTAAATGTTAAATATTGTATAAAACAAATCAAATCTGAAATGAGTTTCTAACAAAAACTATCAATAAAGTTTACTGAATATTTACCTCATGAGCTCATTGTTTAGGAGGATTCCTTGGATGCAGCGTTTCCGTTCATAGAAGCTATGAATGTACTTCCTGCTATAAAATCCCCTCCACCTTCGCTGAATCTATAAAAAATGATTTCCATTAAAACATTAGAAGCAAAATTAGGAAATATGGAAGCATAGCATAGGATTGTGTTCTTTTTTGCAGTCAAAATTTAAAAGACACAACATGAATTTTTTTAAAATTGGCACAAATTACTTAACTTGGCAGTATTTGCTGAGTAATCTGGAGTGGAAACAGATTGTCTTTTCTGGTGTTTTTTTTTTTAAGTTTTATTGCTGTTCTTCGTAAATTGCCCCCATTGTTTTACACAACAATACAGGAGGACGTTCCAAGGTGGGATCTACAACTGTCACCTCTATATATTTAACCATTTCAGTCAACGCTAACACTGGAGGGCTGCAGATTATCCATCCCATGCACCCACCCACACCACTGCATCATTTTAAAGCAATGGGCGGATGTCCTTCAGACTAATTAGGAGATTAAAACAATGGCAGGTAAAAGAATAATTATGCTATGAGAAGAACTCAGAGGAGAGGAGGAGGAGTGGAGGCTAGAAGAAAAACAACAAAGAGCAAAATGAGAATTAGCATTGATCTGCCAGTCAATAGATAATTTTAAATAAAGTAATTGGCGCCACCAGAGTTCTTGCTGACCTTTGTTGACTAGTGAAATCAATGCTGTTGAATCTAATACAAATCCGAGGTGCAGCATGTAAACACTGGTTTCTATTATAGCTTTAATACATTATCTTCTGTTATCTACCACACTGTGATGAAGACAAGAGGCAGCGTGTGATAAAAAAATAGAGTCAACATTGATTCTGAGGAAATGCCACAAGGAATCCTGAGATGATTGTTTCTCTCGTTTGTTTTGCTTTCTCTCTATTTAAACAACAAATCCTTCCTCAGAAAAAAAAGTTGTTTATAAGGACAGAGATTTGGTTTAAATAATACAAATGGTCACCATTGTTTTGTCAAGAAGGTAAAAAAAAATCAAGAACCTTTAAGCAAAGACTGCATTTGCATTAATTGTCAGTGGTTTATAATTTATAATTACTGTTAAAATCAGTCTGTTATCAATTAGAAAATAAGAATTTCTGCATTTTTGTCTTTTCTCCTACAGCTGAGAACAGAGCAACATCCTGGGACAAAATCTACTTGTGAGGCAAAAGCCTAGGTCAAGGGCAGTGGGATAAAACTGGAGCAGCTGAAAAAAATATCCGTCATACATAGAATATACCGACTGCAGCACAAGCCCATGTGGGAATTAAACCCAGGACTTTCTTGTGCTGTTAACTACTTAGCCACACTCATTTTCTAATGGTGTTTGTTCAAACAAAATCAGTGCACAAAAAAATAAAAATAAAAATAAATCAATCCCAAAGATTTGTTTTCTAAATATTAGCTGCATTTCCATTATAGGAGATTATGGAAATTTCTGCGAGGGTGAAGGTGACAGGGAAAATGGTGGCTTGATGAGTCTTCTCAGCCGTAACGCTTTTTTCAGCCCTTTCAAAACTTTGATGAGACGTCAGTAAATTGCAGCTTACTTGGTAGTGAGTGACTTCACTGACTGGCATTAAAAGGCATCCATGACTGTTAACAGTGGCGGATCGTCCATAGGGGGCGCTAGAGCTCATGTAAAAGTCACCAGTCCCCAGTAGTCTCAGGAAGAAGAAGATATGAAGCACAAAATAAAAAAATAAAAAAACATGAAAATTAAACTAAACAATCTATATATCATACAGACTATAAGTACTGTGTATAATCTGCATTTAAGTGTAGTTGAAAAATGTTCTCTCACACTTTAACTACGACCGAATCCTCTTGTGAAGTACTTCCTGTTCCTTTCGGGCGTAGCAATCTTTACCATGAACCTACGACCTACCTACTGGCGTCCAAGACATCCCAAGACAGTCAGAAATCAGCTCAGTGTGACATTGGGACAACAGAGTCTACGAACCAAGTGTTTGTTTTTTTTACTATCACACAAATTATTATGATCATAAACTTTAGGAATGGTAAGACTGAATTTATGCTTTCTACTTCACTAAATTAGCAGCTGTTTTGATGCAGAGTTCCTTGAGTTTTGCAGGTAGAGTATTGGTACTTATATTGTTGTAAAGAGGAGAGTCTGGGATTTCATTTAAACAACTGCTTCTGTGGATAACATTCAGGGAAGAGTTCTGTGAGGGTTCTGTAAGATAGGTCAAAACAGCATAGAGGACAGCTGTTTGGGGATTTCTGCTGCTTTTTTTTTGGTGCTGGGAGTTTAGAAACTACGATTTTAAAAGGGTATTTCAGAGTACATATCCCAATGCTTGTACTCGTATACATAGGCGTCATTTTAACCGGGGACGCCGGGGACATGTCCCCGGCAAAATTTGTGATTGGCAGCTGTGTCCCCCCCACTTTCAAAAACGCCTGCTGATGAGGATTTTTGTTTTACCAGCTCAGATCTTATACCAGGGGTCGGCAACCTGTTCCCATCAAAGAGCCATTATTACCCATTTCCCACGGTAATTTTGGACGGACCTTAATAAGCAGCGACTTAAGTGAAGCAGGCAGGTCGCGCTAGAAAATTTCGTTTAAAAAGACGTCATGAATGTGTTCCCCCGTCATTTTTATTTATAAAATATGAAGTAAAAACTCACAATTTAATTTTCATTCATTTGTCATTAATATTTAGTCTACAACTGTGCGTTAAGTGGACCATCTTCCAGTAAACGCAAAGCATCCAGCCCACCTCTCCAAATGCGTAAACTGTGCATCAGCCGCTAGTTAGGCGCGTCGCGCGATCGGCCCAGACAAGAGCAGAGCAAATAGAGAAAGAATAGAGGATTATTGTGTCTGGATGTGGATGGAGATTACATTTTACAGCAGCCTGATCATCATTTAAACACGTAAACCATCACCTGTCTTCTAGTCCACGCTGTCAGCATTATTTAATTGGTGTGTGTGTGTGTGTGTGTGTGTGTGTGTGTGTGTGTGTTTTCCACTTCAAACACTGGTCTAACCAACCAGACCAGCTTGTCCAGTAACATATTAATGTTACAATTAAACAGTTTCACTTCATGTAGGCTAGGAACGTTTCACCTGCCGTGGCCCGACCGCTTCTGCTCCACATAAACTTTGTGTGTGATCAAATGTCTCTACAGGTGCTTTCTGAGCTGCTATTCTGCCTCAGACTGGATGCGTCATGCGTCTCCATATTAGAGACGGGAACAAGCGCTATTCAGCCAAAGTTTCATAATCAGAGAACAATTTTCCAAGTGATACATCCCTCAGAGAGACCGGGTTTCCAGACCGCTTCAGTGGGAGGAAATCTTATCGCATGTGCCGTTCTGCACTGCGCTGCGAACCCCAGATCTTCAGCTCACTGTCCACCGTGGGCGCTCCAAGCCGCGCTGAACAGTGTCCAGTATAAAGCTCTGATGTTCTGATGGGAATATTTTACCTCCGCGATGTGCGTTAACGATTAAAATGTCAGCTCATCCATGCGCATCAGTATGCGTCGAGGTAATTCTTTCAAACCAAGCAACATCCTTGAGTTCATCTGTCAAAATAAACAGTCAAATGGAAATATCTGTAACCTGCCGTTTAACTGTTTTGCCTTCCTGTGAAGATTGTTGCAAAGAGAAACAATTAAACTTGATTAACCCCAGAGCCACCCAGAGAACCAGAGCGCATGTGGAAGGTTCCTCCCACTGAAGCGAGTGTTTTCCAAACCCTGTCTCTCAAAGAGACTTGTCACTTAGAAAATGTTCCCTGATGATGAAACTTTGGCTGAATAGCGCTTGTTCCTGTCTCCAATGTGGCGACACATCCAGGAGCCGTCTGAGGAGAATCCCAGAATCTCACATCCTCTTCAGCTCATAAAGTGCCGATATGATTACGCACAAGCGTGACGCGCCAACCCGGTCTCACAGTAAGACCGGGTTGGACCTGTTCAGGTTTACGCAGACAATCTTTACATTTAGAATTGGCATACAGATGTAAAATTAATGCAGTAAAATATAAAGCATTTTATTTAAATATCCATTCATTATTTTACATGCAGAGAGCCGCATCAGATGGATGGAAGAGCCGCATGCGGCTCCAGAGCCGCGGATTGCCGACCCCTGTGCTAGCCTACTTTATTGTCCCCAGCAATTTTTAAACCCCACTCAAGTGTATGGTTATTGTCCCCAGCAACTCTGAAAACAAACTGACGCCCTTGCTCGTATATATACTATGTATTGCTGGGTTTCACTTGTGTGACGTCTGCGGACAGAAAGTGTTTTGCTCTGCAACAAAACACTTAGATACAACATGGTGCGATGGATGAAAGCTATTTTACTAAGGCTAAATGAGCTGGCACAGACAGGATATCACAAAAAAATACATCTTCTTTTAGGTCATGCATGCTTCATAGGTATTACACAGCAAACCAAATGAAAGCCTTTTACAAGCCTGGAAGCACAAAGCAATTTTATTTCAGGTTGGTAAACTTTTAGTTGATCCGGAGAAGCTTTAAATTACAATCATCTTATTTTTGCTCGGTAGTGAGTTGTGCTATTTTAATTCATTAGTTCACGATAATGATGTAATAAACTTTTTATGGCTTTTCAAATCCAAATTTCTGGTACGTTTGATTTTAATAAAGTATAAACGCCATGCTACAACACTAAGCTAACAGCTAAAAACATTAGCACTCTAAAAGCTATTTGCAGTGAGGACACATGAAAACAATATAAAACTGTTAAAGGAGACATAACATGAAAAACACTCTTTTTTATCCATTAACACAGTGTGTTTCACATTTTAAGAGTCTAAGTGAGCAAAAAGGCTTATATTATTCACTGGAGTTGCTAGTTAGATATTTAATAATTAAGTTTTGGGCATATTTGTCCACCCGTTCAGTTTTTCAAATTATCTATTACATCAGTAATTTATTTTGTCAGGATAACAACCAAATATGGTAATGGCCCTCGGCTAAACACAGAGCCAATCTGCCATTTTTTCATCTCGCTAAGATTTTTTGTAGTCCTATTGGAAAAATGCAGAATGCCTGGTTA